AGTGAATAGCACTGTACATGCCAGATGGCAGGAGTATAAGAGGAAATCTTATCCAAATAAAACTGAATTATACAACATGCACTTATATTGCTGTGCTACCATATCTGGACAACCAACTTGTGAAAAATATCACAACTGATTAGACAATGGATGAGTTGAATTTGTTGAATGGTAAACATTGGAGACAATGTACCAAAGACAATATCTATCAACATTATTTTTGCATTTAGTCCATCTATTTATTTTCAATTCAAAGGCAGTTGTTCTGAACTCAATTACCTTGCAACCAAACACTTAGTAACAAGCAAGTTTAGATTTGGTGTTCTGTTGTTGATTAGTGTGTGCAGCTGCAGTCTTTTGAAATACGCATCATATGCAATATTTCTTGGTCAAGGCAAACAAATTTATAGTATAGCTGGTGGCGTGCTGGTGTGAAGGTAGGTAATTTTACCTGCATTATTTGCTATCCTAGTTCCTTGGCATAGCTGTACTGATTTCTTAGAAAAACAGAAACAGAAAATGATCTTTTCAGTCTCTTGAGCACATTGAGCTGACAATTTCATAATGTCTCAAATTAGCCTCTTGCCATTGTTTCAATAGAATGCTAAATTATTTCCTTGTTCACCGTGATAGTAAAGTGCTCGAAGCGTTTAAAAATACAAAAAGTGTCCAAGTTAGTGTGCTCCAAGACTGCTGAACTTAACGTTTTTAAAAAAGGAGTAGTGACCTCCCAACCAGATTGACAAGCCTGGGTAGCTTTCTGTGGGAACAGTGAGGCCCAAGTTGATTAATTGGGAGAGGTAGTGTAAAATGTTCACATCTGTGGATTATGACAAGAGCATCTGACAACCCTGGGGAGATCAAAATCTACCTATTGATTGTGAAGCATTCACAGTTTACTACAGCAAGTATCAAAACCCATTTGTGATAAACACTGTTTCATTAATGGGAAAAAAAAAATGGGTTGGTGTGACTCTTTCTTGATGGAAAGCCAAGCTCAGTAGAAGCATTAACTCACTGAATTAAAAACAAACCTCATTTGTACTGGATTGAGGGTCTTATCCAGTGAGCAGTTTACAACTTTCATGGTAGATACAAGACCTCAAAAAAGTCTATGAAACTGACAACCTGTCAAGTTAGTCAAGTGGCCTTAGTTTAGCAGTTGAAAACAAAGGCAGCCTGCCTATGCACCAGCTGAAAAGGGCTTGCAGTTTCAGGAGCTGTTTGTTGACATAGCCCTCAAGTGTTACCAAGTAGAATCAGTGCTTCACGGCTTCTACATGTCATTATTACAAGGGTGGGAGCTGCAAGAGATCAGTGTGGAGCTGGAGGAACACAGCAGGTCAGGCAGCATCAGAAGAGCAGGAAAGTTGACATTTCATGTCAGGACCCTTCTTCAGAAAAGAATAGGACTTGCAAGTTCAGTTTGACTGACAGTTTCCAGGAGTTCTGAAATGATTAGCTGTCTTGGATGCCAATGTTAGTCTTCTTTTAATGGGAAAAAAAGTTCTTAAAAAAAAAATCACTAAATACATAGGGGATTCTTTTAATAGATATTTAAAATACAATTATACTTCAGTGAGCTCAGGATTTCAAGGAGGCTGGATGATTTGCTTAGCTTCGGCAAAAGAAGAAATCTCCAGGACAACCTTCAACATGGAAGTCAGTTTGGAGAAGTTATGCAATTGAAGCAGTGAATCTTTGGAAGCTAAGAATCACTGACTGATTCCTTCTCTAAGTGCCAAGTACATGGGACTTTAGATGTATAACCAGAAAGTGAATTAGTTTAAATAAAAGGCTGCCTACAAAAATGTGATTTGTCAAAGATGCTCTCAGGTTTATATTATTTATAGTCAAGTTTATAGCTTATGTAATTCTTTTAGTCAGTCACTGGAAGTTTAATTTTTTTTTTGAAGGGACCAGTCTCTACTGGGATCAAAACAAACCAACTAAACAGTGATCCGATCTGGAATTTTCTGAATAAAGCCTGACCTGGAAAGGGTAGAGAGAAATAAAATCTTTAGCAATGTTTAGCAGCACACTTGGTAGCTGCCTCCATTACAACAATAGACTCTAATGGGTAAATAATCAAGTTTGGGAAAAAGGGCACTCTACTATTCAATCCAAATATTAATTTCTTAAAATATCATCTTTCCTGTGAAAAAACATTTTTCATTCATACTAATAATTACCCCTGGCACTTCATTTAAAGAGTTAGGAAGGGGGATTGGATTGGCAGGAGGTGGCCATTGCAATGTAGAAACACAAGTGTTAATTTAATTATGGAATTGGGTATTGCTTGCAGATCCATAAACAAAGTACACCTTCATTCAAAGTAGAGTTCAAACGCTAGCAGCATTGTCTCCATTGATGGATAGAGGCAAGTGCCAAATCCACTTCAGTTAGAAGTGAAGGTTGGGGTGCAGGTGGGGCTGAAGTGAAATCCCATACTGTTTGCACCAATCTGACAAACACTGGCCATCAAGCCAGTTTCCTTAGGAGTCCAACTTGCTGTGGCAATATAGGTCTTTAACATCCCAGAGCTATAGATTAAAATAGAGCCTCTAATTGTTTTTTTGCCCCCCAAGCACATATCTAACTAGAAATGTCTAGCCTTTATTGCGCTGGAAGGATTTATAGACTCATGCAAGCTGTTTGGCAATTTTTGAATCCATTTTCCTTGGCCAGCATGCCCAGGAGTAAGATTCTAACTTGTTCTCTAAAGAGAGAGTGTTTCCCACTATGTCACAAAGCCTAAAGAGGCTATACCAGTCTGATTTTCAAAAAGTGAATCCTCAGCTGCATTCAGGAGTTTCTAGCTAGTTCTTCCGGCCTGCTACACACCCACCAGTAACTCGATTAGAGCAGCCAACTCAGCTAAAGAACATGTGGCACTATTTAACTGCCTGCAGAACATTGGAGCTGAAGGATCACAATGAGCAAGATTTGCAAATCAGAGCAAGGTGACCTGCAGCAGCCAGAAATTCTCAGCTCTCCTTCTATAAATTAGAGAGAACTGTGATTCAAGCAATTGATAATGGAACCATTCCACCATCCTCACCAAACAAAAAAGTAATAAGCTCCCCCAACAACAGTACTGGTAGCTTCCCAATGTATTAAAATGAGGCACGAGCCCCAATTTGACTTTTGTTTCTTACCAATGTTATCAGACGTAACCTCTACACCCATTTGGTTCCCACTTCAAGAAACTTGATCCCGCAATCTACAACTACAGATTCTATGCCAAGTGACAGTCACTTGCGCGTAACTTGGCCACTCCATTCATAGCTGTTTATATTACATATGACCTTCAGTATTGAAAAATACCTGAAAATACTTCACCAAATTGTAATATGAACACTAAACTAAGGAAAGACATTAGAAGGAGCAAGTAAACTTTCACTGAAGTTTAAAGAAGTAAAGAAAGTTCCAGAGAAGTTAAAGATAAGCTGAAGGTGAAACTGCCAAAGGGAAAAAAAGGTCAAAAACTAAAATACACAAGTGGTTAGAGTCAAAATGAGGAGTATGGGGGGGGGGGGGAACTGCAGAGGTAGAAAAGTTTATAGAAATGGGGATTACATGATGATGAAGGGAATGGAACAGTGTGAATTTTAAATTTGAGATTTTGTGGGGTCTTAAGCCAATGCAGCTCAGCTGCAAGCAGGTCTTGTTGCAGGAGAGAAAATACAGGCAATTTTTTAAATAAGCTGATGCCTAGACAGCAGAGGATGGAGTTTGACCAAAAGAACATTGGAATAAGTGAACTCTTGAGGTGACAAAAGTACAAATGTGGAGGGGGGGGGGGAGATTGGGGAGGGGTGGTGGTGGTAGTATTGGTAGTAGATCAGCTGAGACAAGGTGGTAAATAATGTTAGGAGATGAACATGGACAGTTTCTTCAGAAAAACTTTGCTTGTGGTCAAAGGATCTCAATGTTGCAAAAAGTCTGGTGTAACCACATCACTAAGTGATAAGCTGTGGGGAGCAGCAATTGTAACTGTTTGTAAACAGTCAAAAGTCTTTTAGGAGGGTAAAATGTAAGAAAACTTGACATGAACTTGCTGCCATTTAAAGGTGGTGGCTTAAGATTTTAACAAAACAGGAGGTTTTGATGGCAGACATCTGAAGAATGGCACCCATCAACCATAAGACCTGCATACATGAACTGATAATATTTTAAAGTTTAATTTTCAGGATGGCTGTCTAAAGCAAATGTGAGGCACTATTTAACATATTCAAACAAAAAACATTCAATTCCTTGGCAAATGACTCAAAGGGAGCAATATGTTGGGATCACAATTTGCTTGACTTTTTGGCTGAAGTTAAAAAAATTATAATTCTAGTAATCCAACAGCAAGGAACCCTTGAAACTACTTCAGAACAGACAGGTTAACCGTTTCTTACAATAGGAGTGAATATCATCCAGTGAAACAGAACTTAAAACACCTGCATAAAAACACTGCAATGGAATAATACACCAAATAATTTCATCATAGCAATTTTGAAGTTAATTTCTATAACAACATGTCAAAATTTGTTTAAATTTATAACACTGTACAGCATATTAAGTCCCAATCCTATAGTGTATTGTTTTATAAAGATCAGAATTGACCAAATCATGGTAGCATTTAGCCATCAGATTAGCAAAAAGTTAAAAATACACATGTTCAGGTAATTAACAGATGACAACCCAGTTATTGTATAAATATGCATTACAGCATGTTATACTGAGTAAATTAGCAGCACATTGAGAATATAAATAAATAAACATTGTAGAATATACAACCACAGCAGTTTTTGCTTAACTTGCATGTTGAGACAACATATAAAATGTATACTGAATAGGTTACAGCAGTTATCCTGAAACAGCTTTCAAGGACACTGCTGCATACATTTATGTATAAGATTGAATTGATGTGCAAGCAGTGTACCAAGCAGAAAAAAAGCCAAGCTCCCTTTGTCAGGCGCAATTGCAACATTTTTTTTTGACCAGGCACTTACCAGGCTCTCAAAACAAACACCACCAAAATAGAAAGATACAATTTGAAGGAAAAAGAAGAAGGTGCATAAAGCAAAAATGTGAAAAAACAATGTTTCTCTGAACCCATCGTAGACACAGTATTGATAGGAAAACCCTGACTCTGCTGCTGTATAAGAATCCAAACCAGCCTGCAACCGGAACTATACCGACAAATGCTAACAGACAGGGAAAACAACCATTTAGCTTCGCGAACCCGTCTATAAATTATAGCAATAAGCTTTCCTACAAATCAGAGTGGAGTGGGGTGGGACTTGCAAGCTCAGTTGTGATTCACAATCAATAGCATGGAAAATTTGTTATGTTTCTGTTAAAGGTGTCCTATTTGCAAAATACTGCGTGAAATCCTTCTTATCTAAAGCTTAACAATATGTAATTCTGATCATACAGCGTTGTCTAGCATGAGTCCAAGCGGATGTGTTAAGAATTTAAAATAGTATATGTATCTCTCTCTTAAAGGAGTAGATAAGTGTTGACAATAAATTGTACAATTATTCGAATGCAACTGTATTCACCAAAAATGTACAATGGAGCTGGGTATGGTGGCCAATTAGCCCAGATGGTTAAAACGTGTCAATTAAAAACAAATCAGAGTTAATGCTTCGACTCTGGTAACTCTTCCTCAGAACCCTTCCTCAGGCATTAGATGGAGTGTCAATCAAAAGAGCTATTTTCTCCTGGATGGTGTCAAGGTTCATGAGTGTTGCTGAAGCTGCACTCATCCTGTTCTGAGGAAGGGTCACTGGATCCGAAAGGTTAACTCTGATTTTTTTTCACAGATGCTGCCAGACCTGCTGAGCTTTTCCAGCAACTTCTGTTTTTATTCCTGATTTACAGCATCTGCAGTTCTTTCGGTTTTTAAAGCGTGTCAGTCACTGATTCAATCCCAATATGAACCAAAATCACTGGTTTCTCTGACAGCACTCAGTTCTTTACAGAGGGTCTTGTGGCACAGTGGTAGTGCACCTGTATGCAGGCCAGGAGGTCTGGGTTCAGGTCCTACCTGCTTTGAGGTCTGTTATAATAAATCTGAATATGTTCCTATAAAACTAAATCCAACACCTTGCTAAGCAGATCCTGTGGTACTTCTGGACCAGGAGGCCTAGGTTTCTAGTCCCACCTGCTTCAGAGGTGTGTAATAACATCGCTGAACAGGCTGACTAGAAAATATTTATAAGGTATGTACTGGTGTGACGATGCTGTCACTTTAAAAAGGTTATTTTGTCCTGGGTTTTTTTGAAGAGAGGTTGTAAAGGCAGAGGTATCAAAGTGGCCACAGGAGATGCCTTAAGTCAACAATCAGGGAGGCTTTTACGTTGTTTTTCTAAAACAGTCGTAACAATGGAAGGGAAGTGGCCAGTTCTCACAGATCAAGCTTTCTAGTTTTTAGCTGTAGCAGACAGAAGCTGTTGAGGTCCCAGAAGAGTTGGAGCCTCAATAAAATGATTCCTACCTGCTACATTCTCTGAAATGTCTCTTGATGTTGTTTCCTCCTGGAGTGGAGAATTGCCTGTAAGAATCTGTGCCTGAATTTACATTTTTGCTAAGGGGTATTGTTATGGAATGTTCCTACACTAAAACTGTTAATTAGTAATAAGTACTGTTTCTATTATTCAGTTATGTTTTCCAATAGTTAAGATATTCTAAATTCCTCTTTCTTTTGTTTGTATTTTAACTATAGTATTTAAATAAATTGTGTTTTGCTTAACATCGAGTGGTTTGACCAATTACATCATATCTGGAACATGTATGTCACATCTACCTTTAAAATAAGAAAAAGTTAGGGCCTAGGCTACCTTCTTAAAATATTTTGAGGTGGCCTGGTCGAGTCCATAATACTAGACTGAATCAACCTTCAAGATGTTGACTAAATAAATACTATCTTTGATCAGCATACATGCATTTGTTGCAAAGAATTAATCAGTCAATTCATATTAACTGGTTTTTCCAGAAATAACATTTACTTTTCAAAAATTTCTTTCATGGAATGTGGGTGTCACCAGTTGGGCCAGTTTTATTACTCAGTCAATACAGTGTGGAGCTGGAGGAACACAGCAGGTTCCAACCTGAAACATTGACTTTCTTGCTCTTCTGATGCTTCCTGAGTTCCTCCAGCTCCTCACTGTATTAACACTGACTCCAGCATCTGCAGTTCTTGCTATCTCCCAGTTTTATTACTCATCCTCAAATGCCTTTGAGAAGGTGGTGGTGAGCTGCCTTTTCAAAGCAATGAAGTCCATATGGTGTAGGTACACCCAGGATTTTAATCCAGTGACAGTGAATGAACTGTAATATATTTTCAAATCAAGAGGGTGCGTGGCTTCTTTGGCAAACTGCAGGTGATAGTGTTCCCCTGTATCTATTTCCATTGTCTTTCTAGATGCTGGAAGGTATTATCTAAGAAGCCTTGGTGTATTTCTATAGTGTGTCTTGTCGATGATACACACTGCTGTCACTGTGTGTTGATGGTGAAGGGAGTGAATGTTAAGGGTGTTAGATGGAGTGCCAATCAAGGGGGCCATTTTCTCCTGGATAGTGTTGAGGTTATTGAGTGTTATTGAAGCTGCACTCATCCAGGCAAGTGGAGAGTATTCTATTACACTCATGAAAACAAAATTTGAGCTCTCTCTATCTGAGCTAACTCTAATACAATAGCAATAAATGTGGCTGCTGGACATAGATGGGAGGTCACTGGAAATTGTAGCATTATTTCAAAACTTGAGGGATCTTTAGGAAAATCAGTGGGAAATGCAGTGAACTAAATATACTTGAAAGCATTCAAACCTACAATTCATAGCCACAAATCTTGGAGCACTTAAAAGAAGGCATTTCTGCCAGAAGATGATATTAAGATTGAAAATGCCAACAAACAAGATAGTTTAATCATTTAACAGTCAGATATTTTGAGCACTTTATTTTGATAAGGCGATGGAATAGTTATTGCACAATGCAAAGAAATGAAGGAGTACTTTGTTTTCTTTCATTGAAGGAAAGGGATTTGTAGCATTATTGCATGAATGGATGGTCAGGTAAACATGTACTTTTGAAAGAATTAGGTGATGCCATCAGTGTAACATCATGTATTGTGATATTCTTGTGTAAAGGTATCAGTTCCATCTTAAATAGTTACCACTGAACTTTGTAATTCTTAAGGGAAGTTAGTCAGTCAATCAGTACAGATTATCCCCATGTTTGTGCTTGAGTTCTAAAATATTTTGTTATTCTATGAATAAATCTTCGTCTGATATTTGTTCTCTGTAAGAGCTCAGTCTTGTAGTGTTGTCAGAGTTCACGTAATATCACAAGAGAGCACATCATCATAGCAGCTAATGCGCAGTATTGGGAGGATATTTCAGAATATTGCAATGTCTAGTGCTCCAAGAAGACCTCTTTAGTGAACTCTGGAAGATAATTATCATTGTGATAGTTAAATCATTAAGTCCAGGACTGAAGTCTGCAAGTGAACAGTAATTAATTCGGAGTGCTTCAACTCACTCTGCAGCACAGAGCATCTCTGTTTGGGAGAAGGAGATGGCTATACTATATTTGATAGAAGTACAATCATTAACTTCCCAGTTAATGGGCTTTTGTGGAATGGACCCACTAGTTAAAAAATAAAAAAAAGTACATGAATCTAAAACTGGTGATGAAAAATCCATAGCATTTTATCAACAGTGTAACCTATCTCTACTGAGATAGCAGTTCTAAACCAAAGAGCTTGTGAAACTGCTGGTTTTGTTCTCAGTGCTTTTCAAGGCTTTCCACTGTTGAATTTAACTCCATTTCACACTTTTGATTTTCAGGAAGAGGGTGGTAAAAACGTAGAATTCACCAGCACAGGGAGTGTTTGAAGCAAATAGTATAAATGATTTTAATAAATCGCTCAATAAGTATATTATGGTGATATTAATAACAAGTTATGTTTATACCGATAGATGAGAAAAGACAAGAGTGACTGAATGGAGCAAAATCACCAGTTTGGACTGTTTCTGTGCAGAATCTCTTAGAACATAGAACATAGAAAATGTACAGCACAGTACAGGCCCTTCGGCCCACAATGTTGTGCCAAACTATTATCCTACTTTAAGATCAAAACTAACCTGCATACCTGTGTAAAGAACCTACCTCTGACATCTGCCCTATACCTTCCCCCAATCACCTTAAAATTATGCCTCCTCGTGATAGTCATTTCCGCCCTGGGAAAAAGTCTCTGGCTATCCACTCTATCTGTGCCTTTCATCATCTTGTACACCTCTATCAAGACACCTCCCATCCTTTTTCGTTCCAATGGGAAAAGCCCTAGTGCCCTCAACCTTTCCTCATAAGACCTGCCTCCATTCAAGGCAGCACCCTGGTAAATCTCCTCTGCACCCTCTCTAAAGCTTCCACATCCTTCCTATAATGAAGCAACCAGAACTGAACACAATATTCCAGGGTCTAACCAGGGTTTTATAGAGATGCAGCATAACCTCGTGGCTCTTGAACTCAATCCCCCTGCCAATGAAAGCCAACACACCATATGCCTCTTAACAACTCTATCAACTTGGGTGGCAACTTTAAGGGATCTATGGACGTGAACCCCAAGATCCCTCTGTTCCTCCACACTGCCAAGAATCCTGCCATTAACCCTATATTCTGCATTCAAATTCGACCTTCCAAAATGAATCACTTCACACTTTTCCGGGTTGAATGCCATCTGCCACTTCTTTGCCCAGCTCTGCATTGTGCGAATTATTCCTATATAATTTCACAAGGAATGTTCAAGAGGTGATTTGGTGAGAAAATCTATTGAATATCATTTTTGAAGTGAAATGGCCAGCCAGATTGACAAAAATGTTTCCTTTCATGATCCTGTGTAATGCTGTATTCCTAAATGCAATCTTTCAAAAAAAAATTTTAAACTTTTTAAACTTGGCTTAGACAATTATCCTATTTATATCAAACACCTTATTTTGACTTCTGTTATTGCAATTTGGAAGGAAATGTCTTCACTATCGAAAACTTGAAGGCAATAATAGTCTAGTATATGAAGTACCTAAGTTCACCTCAAGTTTCAATTTCATTTGTATCTTTACTGGATCTCATTTCTCTTCTGACAGTCCACTACCTATTAAGGTGTGTGGGAAAAACATTTCAG